CTCTCCAGATAAACCCTCTGTCCTCGGGGCTTTACTTCACTTCCTGTAAACATGACCCACAAGACCCCAGCTGTCCACAGCACAGCTAGGATACTCATAATGCCCTCCTGCATCTCCCTTCTGCTTGGGGGCAGCCAGGGGAGGCTCACAGCCACAGCTGGTGGAGGGAAGGCACAGCCAGTGTGCTGCATACCCTAGGGCTGTGCCCGCCACAGCCTGGCCTGGCACACAGGGACTGAGGAGCAGGTCACCTCACCTCTCAGTCTGTGCTCCTGTAGGCTTTGGACCAGGATGGAACCTGTGAGAACCAGGCTGTCCCGGAGCAGTTTTGTGCAACTGAGCTGAGTGTGGGGGACCGCGTCTGGGCAGTGTGGCTCGAGAACACTGAATTGGGCTGTCAGCAGTGACACTCAAGACTGGGGGCAGTGGGAGACCTGAGTCAGGACTCCTGCGGCATCTGGTGGCCAGAGCCTGCAGTGTGGACAGTCAGCCAGTAGGCATGGAAAGAGTGCCACTTTCTCAGAGTCTGCGGCCCCAGAGTCAGTGTTTATAGGGAGGAGCCCACAAGTGACTTGGTCTGCAGCCTCTCAGCCACCCAGAAAGCTCTACGCATGGCGATATGTCATTCTTGAAAAATCAGCCCTTCAAGGACTTTAGTGGAACATTGTGCCCTTAGCACAGATGGGTTGGAAAACACTTGAAGAGACCTGTGCCCTGCTGAATTGGCAGGATAGGGTGGGGGGTCATCAGATTGGGAGCTGAGTCTTGAACTCCAGGGTGTCCCTGGGTTTTGTCACAGGGCACTGTGGACAAGGCTATGTAGAAGTAGCCTGGCACATGACCCTGTCCAGATGCCCTCAGGCTGCGTGGGTCCTTGGAGGCTGAAATGCCTAGGAGTGTGGTGGAAGGACAGAGCCTTGAGTGCCTCGCAGAACCTCTGAAGACCCCCAGCCCCTCTCCTTAGAACAGCACTGTGCCTGTTTCAAGGCCCACTGGGTGAAGCCCAGCCCTCTCCCAGGCTGGTGTCTCTGCCCCACACACCTGCCAGCCCAGGCTCTGCTTTTCCGATTTTCCTGTCGGGTCCACCCTAGCAAGATGGAACGGCTGACCTCACAGTGGCCCTGGGGCTTGCCCTGCCCCAAGCTGGCCATTGGATTTTGCTCCAGGAAACCACAGCTCTGATTGCAACCCAGTGCACAGATGTCTGGCACAGAGCCCAAGGGAGCCCAGGGCAGGTCCACACCTGAACCGAGATCTCGGGCTATGGGGCTTGGTCTGGAGTTTTCCTTCTGTTCTGAGACCCCTCTCCTCCTCTTTTGCATTAGCAAGTTTGGACCAAGGGACTTCACCCTGAGTACATCCCAAGCCCTTTATAAATTTTTTATTTACTGCTGGGCATGGTGGCACATGCCTGTAATCTCTGTAATCCCAGCACTCTGGGAGGCTGAGGCAGAAGGATTACAAATTCCAACACAGCCTGGACAGCTTAGAGGTTTATCGAGATCTTGTCTCCGTAATTAAAAGTGGTTGCAATGGAGCTCCACGCAAGGCTCTGAGTTCAGTCCCCAGGATTATTTCAGAGCATGGAGGGGCTGGAGGCCTGGAGCTGGGTCCTCCTCCACAGGGGTGTGGCAACAACGATGGCTGAGCAGGTGAGCCTGTCTGCTCGCCTCGCAGCCTAGGTTGCAGTGGCGGAGGTCACAAAGCTGCAGAACTATCTCTTGTCCCAGCTCTGGACAAGAACTCGGCAGCTCAGCAACTGTGGAGTCAGTGGGGCGCCACTGTGTGGGCTCTCTGGGGTCCCGCCTGGCCTCTGCCAGCCTCCAGAGTGACTGGGGCCCTTGCAGTTTCCAGGTCCCCAGCTGTACCCTCCACAGTCCACCGCTGCTCCAGTGTAGTTTTTCCCGCTTGTGCGCCTGCATCCAAATCCCCACTTTTTAAAAAGACATGATCACACTGGGTGAGGGCCCGGCCCAGTCTCATTTTTACTTCAGCACATCTGCAGGGCCTTGTGTCTAAATAAGGTCACCTCCGAGGAGCCCAGGGTCGGGCCTGGAGCAGAGCCACTTTGAAGGAACATGTTAGCCCACGATGTGTAGGCAGATGCCAGCGTGTTTCCCTCTATTCCTTCTCAGGATCTGTGGAAATATTTGGGGTGGGGGAGGCTGCATGTTGGGGAGAATGCTCATCAACCTATAAGACTGTAGTGGGGGTGCTTTATTATGATATTGCAAGACAACGTGACCCCAGATGAACTTGGGCCCATTACAGATGTGTCATGGGTGGTGAGTGCTTACTTCACTGTGTTGAACAAATTACCTAACTTCACTCGTGCGGCAGCCAAGGCTGTGTCATCCCTGCAGAATTTGAGCAGGGTTTTTCTGGAGTAAAAGTGAACTGTGTATGTCAAAAAACACTTCCTTAATGCTTCTATGCTGGTGCAGTTAAATAAACTAACTGGGGCACATGGACTGTCCCGCCAAAAGGTATCTATACAGAGCCCAAGTCTCATGGCTCCAATGGTTTCCCAGGGTGACAAAGTCCCCTCGTTGGGGAGCGGCAGGCTTTCCGGACATGGATCACATTCTGATGTTGCTTGATCGTAAACACCTGGTTCCCCAAAGCCGCCATTGCAGTTTGTTTCATTTTTAAAGACCAAGATGGCAAATTTAAAATTCAAATGCTTAGAAACAGCCGAGAGACTGTAACTATAAAAGTGTTTCAGACCACAGTGTTTTAAATGAAGGTTAATTTTCTGATAAAGTAGGAAACGAAGGAGAAATTATCTCCCCACGCACAAGCATGGTTTAGAATACTATAGCTCAATTAGATGTTCTGATTGTGGGAACAATCAACCTCATGTCTTGTTAAACTTCTCTTTTGCCAATTATGAAGCTTTTCTCTACTTAGATTAGAAAGGGTATTAAGGGCACAACAGATAAAAGCTTCCTCTGAGCTAGGAAGAAAATGATAACTTGCGAGGACTCGAGATGAAATGAACAGCCTAAAAATCCCAGTGTATGGGATGGTCCAGTGTGGAAAGTTATTATTCTTTGCATTATTTCCCCCCTAAGATACAGAGCATCTTTTCTTCCATGGGATTTCCTCTGTACCCACAGAAGTATGCCTCCAGCATTCTAATGCTAAATAGTTTCTGCTGCACAAAATATTTATTCCACACTGGCTAGGAGGGAATGAGAAGCCAAGATAATTGGAATTTCCCTACTTTTGCTGCAGATCAAATATGATCTCACACAGGTTTTTGTTGAGAGGGGTCTCACTATATACTAGATTGGCCTCACTATATACCAGATTGGCCTCGAATTTGTGGCCCTCCTTCTGCATCAACCTCCGGAGTGCCGGAACTACAGGCATGCAGACCCTCATCTAGTGATACTAAAGTTTTTAAAGAAGCATATCTTTTCAGGGTTCATTCTCAAGCTTTTATATCAGGCATCTTTCACTTTTCATTTCTGTTTAAAATGGTGGTTTCTTCACTGGGGCCTGGCCTGTTTAGTTACCTTCCATGTCTCTTCCTTGCATCTAAGCCCTGCTGCTGAGTGCCAGCATGCCCGGGGCCAGCCTTCATGTCCTATCCTGGCCGTGGCCCTGTATTGGCATCAGTTTTCCCTGATCTCCAGCCAGGGCCCAGGACCCCTTCCCTGTCCAACCTGTGACAGCGCCTAGTGGCCCTCGAGAGGTCAGCGCTGACATTGCCGCCCCCCGGGGCCTGCCTCCCTCACACGCCAGGACCTCTGTGGTGACATCTGTGTGTCATTGTGCCTGGCATACAGCAGGCATCGGCTTGTCTATGTGTGGGTAAAATAATAGCTGAGGAGTTTCAGTGTCTCTTCTTTGAAGATGAGATGCAACTTTATCAAAAACCTGAAAATTTTGACTTTCAAATTCTCCCAGAACAGAGGGGCATGTCTGCCGCTGGCTGGGATAGAGGCTGTTACATTTTGATTCCTGGTTGAGTGCGAAAGACATCCCAGACACATCCTTGGCTTTAGTTTTGTAGGTTCTCTCTGCTACAGTTGGGTGCGTGCAGGGAATGACTGACAGTCAGAAAAGTGAGTGGCTTTGTCCATCGGGTCCCCATTTTCCAAAGGGCATTCCTGGAGTTCCCTAAATGGTTTCCGTGATCAATGCCAAACACAACTCCGAGTCAGACAGGTGCTGAGCGCTGAGCCCTAGGGCCCCTCCCACCCGGCTGTGGTTTTCAGGGCAGGGTTTGATGTTCATGAGTTTCTGAGCTTCCTTTACCTCCGCTGCCCGCTTCTGCGATGGTCAGGAATTCCACAAGTCCTTTTGCAGTACCCAAGGACTGAACTGAAACGGTCCTGCCAGAGTCACCTGACACAGGAGGCACTTTATTTATTTATTTTCCTTGAAACCCACAATATATTATGGTTTCTACATTTTTAGTTTCCAAATGACATTCCTGGACCTGGCTGTAAAATCCCATAAATTAAATAGAAATCGGTCACATTTATGATGGGGCTGTTAAAGAGCTGTGAGCTTTCTGAATTTATGACCCTGTGTTCACATTCAGCTGTTCGATGCTTCTGCTTCTAGCTCTTTCTATCCTGCATGGGACAAAATTTATATTTGTGGGTGAGATCATTATAAATCTTTTATGTACCACAAGTGCAGTTTTAAATGTTTGCAAGCATGCAAAACTAGGCCCAGGAGAGAGCCGCTATATTTCAGCCATTATGGCTCCTTTGGTGAAACTATAACCCCAAACAAAACTAAACAAACCCCCCGCCCTAAACCCAAATTCCTGTGTTGAACTGTGACTGGTACTTGCCCCCCACCAAAGAGGAAATGCTTTGTGGCAAAGCTAAACTTTGACTCTGCAGATGTTGCTTTAAAATTTTCTTCCTTTTCATGTCTTTTCAAAAAATCACCTTCATGGACACCCCATTTTTCAAAGATTCCCTCCAAAAACTTCTAGCTGAGTTCAGAGAGACATGAATGGCTTCTGAAATCAGGATTGTACATTTCTGTTAACCAGTAGAAAGGCTGAGCCCAGAACTGAACAGCTGGCCTGCCCTTTCTTCTTTAGATTTTAGAAACTTGACCCTGAACTCCTTTATCAATGAAGTCAAACTGCCTAAGAAATCATAAATACCCAGAGAAGTCATTATTTAAAATTACGAAAATAAAACTATTCATGTATCTTTCACAGAGGAGCCAAGCAAGGTGCTGGGTGACTCTGGAGTCTGTAATTCCAGGAGTCCTTAAGGGAAGGGGTGGCGTCCTGGCCACCCCAAGGGAAACCCTTGGGGTGATGTGATCAAATTAAAAGGGAAAAGAGACTTTAATGGAGCACCATTAAAGGCCAATAATGAGATAGATTTTAACACGCACAAAGATTTTGTGCTGATTTTGAACTTTAGAGCAAGGAACTCTTCATTTTGCTGAGTCGTCAGTAAATGAAATAGGAAATGATTCCCAAATTAATCCAGACAACAGAGTCATCTGGAGGAATTTTGAAAAAAGTTCAGGGTCCCAAGCTAGACCTGAGTTAGAATTCCTGTGGCCACAGCACATGTCTGTTTCTAATAACTGCATCTGGGGAACCGCAGCACAGTTCTGTGGTCACATTTCCTCTCTATTCTTTTGAAAATGTGTGTGAATTACTTAGGCATTCCCTATGTTTGGGGAAGAATTCTGGAGTCATTTGTGATGTCCAGGGCTTCTTGTATCACTTCTATAAATGGGGACTTGAGGCTCAGAAAGTTTGCGACTTGATCAGAGCCCTTTAACTACCCTGTTACAGCCATGGTTCCCAGCCCATGCTGGGTACTGCAGGGAGCCCAGGCCCTTGCACGATGTTTTAAATCTGTCAGTTTTCCAGGGAAACACAATTAACATGTAAATCATTAGCTGGAGAGGGTTGGCAGGTTTAGTATAGGACCAAGCTGCCTCCTTTGTGATGATACATTGCTGCCAAACTGGACTTTTAGGTTGTAGTGATAAAAACCACTATAGTGGGACGATTCCTGTGAGACAGATCTCGAGGGCACCAGTGTCTAAAGCTGGAGAAACTGAATGGGAACAGGTGTGGTGATAACACCCGTAATCCCAGCACTCTGGGAGGCTGAGGCAGGCGGCTAGCAAGTCCAAACCCAGCCTGGATAAGTTAACAACTAAAGGAGTTCCTCTCTCAAAATTAAAAAAAGTGATTTAAAGAGGGCCGAGGCTGTAGCTCAGTGTAAAAGCCTTCGTTCAATCCCAAGTGCTGGTAAAAACCAGCAAGCAAACAAACCAAGTCACATGGCCCCAAAGGATGTATACAATCATTAGTAAGTAGCTACTTCAGCATAAAACAAAAATGTTGTCTTTTATTCTCAACACATATATTATTTTTAAAAACTGGGTTCTAATTTTCTAGGACATAAATGCTCATAAACTACTTCAGGTGCTGAACCATTAGATATTTCTTTTGGTACCACAGCCCAGCTGGCACGGAGAATCACTAAGATACTAAGGGTACCTTGAATGATCTGGGTCACACTGTCTTCTTACCATTACACCTTTGGTTTCTTGGGTTTAAAGTTAAAATAAAAAATCCAAATTATCACTTGTCCTCTTTCTGCTGCTCCTGTTACTAACTTCACACTGCTGAATCCCAGGTGCACGTGGTGAGGAAAGTTTCTGATGACAGCAGATTTTTGTTATAGTAGCACAACATTTACTTCTCCGGGATGAGGGTCTTGGGAGAGGTGGGGAGCTGACAGGTCCATAGATGCAGAGGTGTTCCTCTGTGTGATACTGAGGGTCCTTCTATGATAGCCTTGCACCTCTGGGTTCTGTGACACAGGCTGGTCTTCCAGAAATCCTCACCCACATGCAGGTGATTCTTGGCAGCTGGAAGTCTTGGGGAACTGGAGCTGTCATCCAAGAGGCAGACTGGAAGAGGAGGATGTGTTTGAAAATGCCAGAGAGAAACCGGAGTTGGTAGACACTCTGGCTGTGTATAGAGCAGTTTTGCCAGTGACTGGGTCACCACAGGGGAGTAGTCACAGGCAGGTGTCATGCAGATCTTCCAAAGGGACAAACAACCACAGAGCCTTGTGTGGAGAGCTCTGGTTCTTCAGCTCACACAGACTTTCCTAAAACAACTCAATGTTCTGTTCATCCCTTGAATTGGTACAAATATTCCTTTCCATTTGCTTAGTACTTTATATGCCTAGCAGATCTAGACTGACTATTGAAAGCCAACCTCTTTCAACTGTGTCCACCTGCCCAGCTCAACAGGGCTGTCACACCTGTGTCTAACAGATGTGACTTGCAGAGTTCGGATGGCACAGCCAGTTGAGGATGGAGAACACACCAACTCCACTTCTGGCTTGTGATCTGGCACTTTTCTCCTTAACATGGCTTGTGAGTTTCTAAAAATTTTCTAATAAAGTAATTATGAACATGAAACACTGATTATGAACACTGAAGATGCCAGAGGCCACTAGCCTTCATCTGTGCTGTCAGCAGCCTGCACTGCAGCTACCCTGAATGTCTTTTGTTCCACCCTGGGGTCATCTTCCCCTCCTTACTGGGACTCCCTCCTCTGACCCCATTCCTAGTCCTGCTTACTGAACATGTTCTGTGCACCAAGTACCCTGTTGTCTCTGTCTCAGGTTGTCTTAGCTCCATCCTGAAATAGGATCTCTGGTGCGAAATCCAGCTTTCTGAGCCATGGCATTTCCTCATTCAAACCCTTTCTGCTGAGTGCTCCTCAGGCAGAGGAAGGGATTTAATGTGAAGACTCCGTCTGTCTGTCTGGGCTTCAGGGCTGTCCTGGTGAGCATGCTGGACAGGTGTGCAACTGCGGCAGGGTGGCCGGCTAGTGGTGCTGTGTGGGAGAGGAGTGTGAGGGAAATGCTCGCACCATCGGAACACACAGAGAACAATAAAGCTGAGCCTAGGAGGAAGCACTCAGGGAGTCACCAGTGGAATAAATGATTTTCAAGGGCTGCGGTCAGCATTCAGTCCCAGCGAGGCCCCCACAGCTGGGACGAGCTGTACTTTTGATCTGGCCAGGAAATTGCATGGAACGGATTGAGGGTTGCTGTGGAGAAACCAAGAAGGGATTGTTAGAGAAACAATAGAGCTCATTTCACTGCCCTAGACTCCTCACACCTGCTTTTCTCATGGGGTCCATCTCCGGGTGGCCGAGCTCCCTAGAGTCACGCAGCCTCAGCCTGACAAGCTATGGTCAGAGCCGTGCTGCAGGCCTCGGGAGTCTTCTCAGCCATGGGAAGCTGCAGCACACCTGCAGTCTCTGGCCCGAGGATAACTAAGCCAGGGAAAGAGCTCAGCTGACCGACTTTACGCGCATGGCCACACCTGACACAGGGGTGCAGGTAAATAGCCCCACACATGGTGCTGCCACACCCATGGTGACGGTAGCTACAGGACGTGAGATATTATTTCCATAAAAGAGGAGGGAGGGGAAGCAGGTGTCCTGCCCTGTCAGGTGTCTTGCAGGAGGTGTTCCTCCCTCCCGCCAGCACAGGGTGACCTTCTGTGCCGGGCAGGTGGAAGTGCATACAGGTAGAGAAGATAGATAATTTGGCTGCTGGGATTAGGAATTCGAGCTGACTTCCTGTTTCTATATGCCTGAGTGTCTTCAGAGCTTGATGAGTCTTCAGGACAGAGATTTGCTCTTGAGAGAAGCACTGATATGAACCAGTTCCACATCAGCGTGGGGAAGACACGGATCCTAATCATACAGGTAACACAGGTGTTTGATACACAGAGAAGCAAGTTTCAGAATCATCTCTCCCAGTTCAGATGTTGTCTCACCTTCTCATTGCTGAGACACAATGTCCAATGCCCACAGGTTAAGGGAGGAAAGACTTTTATTTTCTGATTCACTGTTCGTAGAGTTTTCTTTGTGTAGCTGCCTGGCTCCAAGGCAGGGCAGCATGGTGGAGGAGCCTCACACAGGAGAAACAGCTCATGGCAGAGCAGCAGGAAGCAGAGGATTGGGCAGGAGGAGGGACCCCTCACCTTTTCCTGCTAGGCTCTACCTCCTGACACCACGCTCAGACATAAACCCATCAGAGGGCTAACCCAACCTCACACACCCATGATCCAGGCACCTGCCAAGGTCCCACCTGTGAGTGTGAGGCTGTGGGGACCTCGAGGTAGGGACCCTAACAGATGGGTCTGAAAGTGTTCTGGAACAGGTTGGAGAAAGGTAGGTTTGGAGGGGCAGGGTAGTAAACGGTTGATGTCTTCCACTAAAACATGCTGAAAAGAAAATTGCTATGTGCGACAGTGACTTTCCCTTTGCCTTGTGTCATCTGCACTGAAGACACTGGATAAAACGGAGTGTGCATCCAGGTGCAATAGTACACACCTGTTATGCCAGGACTCTGGAGGCTGAGGCAGGAGGATCACAAGCTCAAACCCAGACTGGGTAATTTGTTAATTAATTTGTCAGACCCTGTGTCAAAATATAACTTAAAAACGGGGTGGGGATGTAGCTCAGTGCAAAGGCCCATAGATATGTGGACTTTTGGCTCATTTTTCAGTAATTCCCATTACTGAAAAAAAGGAAAAAGAGAATACTTTTAGTGGACTTTCTTTTGGTAGTTCTGGTTTTAGGGAAGTGACTCCCGTGGGTTATTTTCAATTATCTGTGGTTATTTAAATGTGTAAATAAGGGATCAGCAATGGAGCTCAGCTGCTGAACACTTGCTTAGCACATATAAAGTATGATTCCCAGCAGTGCAAAAAAAAAAAAAAAATCTTTAAATGAAGCCATACTCCCATCCTCCTAACTTCATCATTTACCCTCCTTAAAACTTACTGGGCAAATAGCTCCCATTGAGAAAGTTGCCAAACTCCTCCTGATTGGTTTTTCTTCATTTTCTTTGTGAGTTGGGGTCTCCTATGTTGTTTGGGCTGACATCCAACTCACAATGTTCCTCCTGCCTCAGCCCTCTGGGTGCTGGGATTACCGGCATCCCTGGTCTTTGCAGTTTTTCTGATGAAGGTCTCTCTCTCATCTGCATCGGATCTGTTTAGGGAGAATGTCGGCAAGATCCCCACCATGAGCTGTTTCTCCTGGGCGAGGCCCCTCTGCCATGCTGCCCATGCTGCTTTGCAGAATCTGGAAACTGAATGATCCATTTCCTCCTCACCCTGCTTTCGTGGCTTTTATTGGTTACCGGGTAAGAAGCTGCATGACAAAGGCATTGCTGTGACTCAGTACCCTGAGATATTGCCTTGGTCCTGAGTATGGAACCAATGTGGAAGCTATTTCGGTATGGGAAAGTGGGTTGGATGGATGGATGTTTTTATTTTAAAAACAAAACAAAAGATAGAAATGAGACAGAATTTGAAAAAGAGAAAAAAGGAAGTTAACACTAGTTAATAGGTTGCATATTGTTATCTTAGAAGCAGTTGGGCATCTGGGAAGGTCACCCGCCGATGACCCCTGCAGCTCAGTGGCTCGGTATTGTAACAGCGCCCGTCTGCACATTGGCCTATGTGGGCTGGGTGTTGGGTATCTCACTCCTCACCAATCTTCCGTGTGGCTGTGCGGTGGCCTGTGAGCTCTGTGACAGACTCATCCTCCTTTGGATTTGTCTTTGAAAGGAGCTGCTGGAAGACAGCAAAAGACTACAGAAGAAGAGCTTCTGATAGGCAACTATCACATCTGTTAATACATCAGCAGCCACACCTCAGTGGCACGGTCATGCTGACTGGCACATGGGACTGCAAAATGCCTTTGGGCTTGAGCGCAGGAAGAAGGAAGTAGGTTCAGTGTGCCACTGGCTGGTACCTACTCTACCTATGTAAAGAAAAGCTGGGCTAGAGCCTAGGATATTTAGGATCACATCCAACCACAAGTTCTAGGAGTCCTGCTCTTCACAGGCTCCTAACTTGGTATGTGACTAATCCATGTGACAACCCACGAAGTCTTTTCTTAGTGATGTGAAAACTGACCAATTGCTTAAAGGGAAAGCTTGGCAAGAACACTTCCGTCAACATGGATTGCTGAGCCCGCAATCAGTGACCAATAAAATATTCCTGAAGAGTTAAAATAATAGGCTGCCGTCGAGGAGCGATGGGGACCCATTTTCTATCTGGCCATGAACAAATAGAAAATAGGCCCAGCCATTTGGGCTGAGTCTTACAATGCAGCCAGGTATCAGGGTGACCTGCTACTCCGGATTCCTGCTGGTGGGCTTCCTGTGATAACAGAGGAAGATTGGTGCAGAGAGGATTGCAAGCAGAATGTGGTAGTGTTGCTGAGTTGAGGAGAGAGAGACATCAAAGACAAGGGAAGTGAAGTTGCTGGAGTGGGGAAGACAGATCTGTGCTGGGAAGGCCCAAAAGTCAGTGGTGGAAGCTAGAAAGTCTATGCCAGTGGGGTGAAGTAGCTGTGCTGGTAGGTTGAGGGTTCTATACTGGAGCCAAGAAGTCACATTCAGAATAAAGACCAGGGCTATCCTGAAATAAAGACCAGGGCACCACAGTCATCCTCAGTGACATGGAGGTCCTGAGCTCCTCCGACAATAAGAGCAGTCAAGTACATGCCAGAAAGCCAACATGATGAATTTCTTCTAGAGATTAAACAGCGTACATCTTCCTCTCTGGAGCCAGCAACTGATGCTTGATGTAAGGACCAGCGCTTCTGCAAAGCGAACCACAACTGCTCTCACCAACAAAGTCCCAAGCTCCTCCAATGACAATGGTCGAGCTCACACTGGGGAAGCTAGTCATGACAAGCTCCTCCAGGAGAACCAGCAGCTCAAACAGCAATACTTAAGAAACCCACAGCACCTCCCTTCTCCACATCTTTGTTTATGCTGGCAACTTTCCTCATGTGGAACATCTACACTCAGCACCATGCTGATTTAATTTAGCTGGTGTTAAGTTGACCACCAGTTTTTAATCCATAACACCATTTGAAAAGAACTCATGTTTTTAGTTTCTGGATGTAGTACTTCCTACATGCTGATCACATCATTTCTTACTTGTACTGTTACATTTTCTTTGTGGCTACTGGTATTTATGATGGGAGGAAGTGTTTTATAATCTCTAAGTGAGATTTTAGATTTATCTTTTATCATCTTTAGTTCTGCCCATATTTCATTTATAAATTTTGAGTTCTATTATTATACATATTCAAATTTAAGGGTTGTTTTGTCTTTTACTTCTGTAATGAATCTGTACCACTCTGTGTCAATAATTCTGTGATCAGAATGGCTTTCTTCTTATACACATATCCCACCATCCTGGCCACTTTCTGCAGCAGCTCTGGGGTCCTCTTTCCTGAGGGTCTTTAGCTGTGCTTCCTTGATGTCCTGAATGGATTCAGAATGTTCCCTTTCATGGTCATTTTGACTTTGGGGAAGAACCAGAGTCACACAGAGCCACATCTGGTGACTGAGGTGGATGAGGACACAGTGTCATGTTTTTACGAGCTGCCTTTCTGTTGGGTAGTGCTCAGCCACAATGCTCACCATATTATTTTTATAGCACTTTGAAAACACGTCCTAGAGCTCTTCTTCCTATTCACTTCACAGACCTTATCTGAGTGTTGTTTGTGCCCGGCATAGTCAGATGATCCTGCTTTTTCACTTTTTTTCCCCAAAGGCTTCTAGAGGAATCTGGGCTCAGTCTGGGTTTGCACTACTCTTCTGTTAACCCAAGCTCACAAGCAGAGTCTAAAATCAATTTCTTCTTTGGAATGGCTGACATTTAGGAATAAAGATTTTTCAAGAGTCTTTCCTATTGTTTGTTGATTCACTGATCTATAACTAGCACTGACTACCAGACTGCATGTGAAAATCTTTGTGTCTGTGCTGGGTAATTGATTAATCTGCCCCTCACAGCCTCTGAATGAGGGGTGCGTCTTAACGGCACCTACTGGCCTGGCCACTGACTGCACCCATCATTAGGCAATTGTGGGGGCAGCTTCTGTGAGTCCACTTAAATGCCTGGGCTAAAACGGAGACTGATTTTACAAAGCTGACCTATTATCTCACTTTGCACCTTTGCAAATATAGGATGACCTCGGGAGAGATGGAGAAAATATATGGTTTCATTTGTTGCACACCAATTAATGCCAGGGATCTGGGGCCCACATTCTTGGAGTTTTCCATGCTAGTAAGAAATTTAACTGCACCGGAGTTGGTCAATAACCTGAAAATATAACTTGCCACTCCTTACCTGCTTTTGCTGTTACTTTATTATGTCATACATTTCATGGTTCTATGGTCCTGATTATGGAGCTTTTTGAAGTATCTAGAGTAGTGTAAGACCCCACCAGCAAGACTTAGCCATTGGCAAGGGAACTGCAGTCACCTCTGCATCTCAGCTGGGTAGTGACAGGGACAATTGATGCTCTGTTATGATGCCATAGCACCTAGGAATGAGATTCCTGGATGTTTTGTGGACAACCAGACCAATTCCAAAGCAGTCACAAAGGTTGGGCTTGGCGGGTAGGAGGGACTTGTGAGTTAGAAGCACCAAGGGAAATTGTCAGGTAATCCTGAGGCGGAAGGCCTGGCCTCAGGCCGCTCAGTGTTCCCCCAGCTCAAGTGGAAGAGGGAGATGGCCAGGAGTGCTGCGCACTAAACACCACCTCCCAAGGTCGGAGTTCCAAGGAAGGGTGGTCCCTCCAGGGCCGACTCACTGCAAGGCAGTGTCTGCCAGATACCTTCCTGCAGAGTGAGACGATGCCTCGACCTGGCACTGGACATGTGGATGATAGGAGAAAAAGTGGGGGTGCCAGGAGGGAGAATGGGGAGTGATCACAATGTGTTATGTGTGCAGGTGAAAAACAGGAAAAAAAGAAAGAGAGAGGGAAGAGCACTTGGTCTTGTTCAAGTGTGAACTTCATGGTCAAATGTGGGTCTACCCAGCAGGTGACCAGTAAAAACTCTGGTTGCTGTTATGTTTTTAGTTTTTAAGCCAGGGTTTACAAAATCCAAACTGTTTTGGTGGGCAAAGATTTTTTTCTTAGTGGATTTGATGAATGGGCCTCTGAAAAGTCTGTGTTCTTTCCAGGTGGTGTGATCAAGGTACACCCCGAGCGGTGAGTGACTGTGTTTCGAAATGCAGTACCGTAGAAGATGTACTGTGCAGAGTAGAAGACACAGCACCCTCAGAATGCTTCCCCTCATCTCTTCATTCTTTCCACTTTCTGCAGCAGCTCTAGATCTTTTCCTGAGGGTCTTTACTCAGTGCAATAAAAAATACAGTCAATGCTGCTCTTGTGTACTGTCCAATGGAAAGGCAGCTCCTAAAACATGACACTGTGTCCTCAGTCACCTTTATCATTGGATCTTGCATGGCATGACTTTTGGATTCTCCTTACAGCCAAAATGACCATGAAAGGAAATGTTTCGAATCCATTCAGGACATGGAAGCAGCCAGGACAGTGCAACTAAAGACCCTCAGGAAAGAGGACTCCAGAGCTGCTGCAGAGAGTGGCAAGGGTGATGGGGTGAGTGTGTTCAAAGCCAGGGGGAGAATTTCAAAGGGGACTTATTTATTTATTTATTTTTGCTGTAGTTTAAATATTCACTGTATTTTCCATCATACCTTGCACACGGTTTCAGGTCTCACTGTTTTCCTCATCATTTTGAAGCTGAATATCTTTGGAGTCATTGAATGGATAAATGTAGTTTTGCTCAGTGAGATGGTATTCTGCATTCATAAATATATAAAATAAGCATGCATATGTGAGAGAAAGCTGGCTCCCTCTCATACCCATTAATATGAATTTATTTGAGTCAATACATTCTAATTACCAGCCATGTATGTGGGTTGGTACAATATGTATTAGACATTGATTAAATTCCCCCAAGTGTAATAAGCTAATTTGCCATATACTGTATCATCGTGATGGGTGCTGGAGGTGATGATATGTTTGGGAACGTGGGGAAAGCACATTCTTTGCTTGCAACTGATAATTTACTGCTCACTCAAATGCCATAAATACTGGTTTTCACAAGGGGGAAATCATGGAATTTATCTCTGATCTAAACTGTGATTCAAAGTTTAGACCAGCAGCATTTTTATATCCTTATGAGTTACAGGCTGCCTGTTCCTGTTGGCCCCACCAAGTTGTAACTTTCCTGGATGCTGGGAAACCACAGTCTGAAGCTCAAGCCTCTGCAGCAGCAGCAGGAGAAGGTTCTAGAACCAGGACACACACCCAGGTAACCCTGAACAGTGCTTGGCCTCTCTAGACCCCTGCTTCTGGTGTGTGCATAACTGTGTTTTTTCCAATTCAACGTCTTTGTGTTTTTCTCATCCAAGTATTTCCTGGAGTGATGTGCTGGTTTCATGGCTAAGTCTTGTTGCTTCCAAACCTCAGCCTGGACGGTATTAAAATACACTTTCTCTCAGTCTTACTTTTATGAGTCTGCGTTTGCAGTACATAATGATCACCTTCGTCCTGGGGAGCTGAGACATGCTTGTAACCCCTCTTCATTCTTCCTACCTCTCCTCTCCCACGCCCTCCTCCATCGCTTGGTTGTTTCCCATTTGTAAAAGATCTCTACCCCTGTTTCCTGTGATCTGTCCTCTATTTCGCTCTTAGGCTTGGGTTTCTCATTAAAATATTAAAAGTGTAAATAGGCAAACTAACTGGAGTTGTATCAGACCAGCCGAGGGTCGCTTTGAGTTTGGGGAAAAGGGAGATGATCTGATCAGACGTTTGCAGGTGGGCTTTCCAGATGACTGGCAGAGCGCCCGGCGGTTCCCTTTGCTGGAACCATTGTTTTCCCTGGTCGGCGGTGAGGTTCACAAACACCGGCACCTGTGGGCTTCCTCTCAGCCTGGCCTGCTTCCTGAGGCAGAAGCATAGCAGCTGGGGTCTCGGCAGGGCTTGGTGTCGCCTGCCTTTTCCCAATTTGCAATCTGTGCTCTCAGAACCAGGTGTGAGCTGGCGCAGGGGGCAGCCCTGGTCCATGGACAGTGCTGGCCTCTGGGGCCCTCACAGGAAGACTCAAAATAGCGCGAATGATTCTTTTCCAAAGTCCACTTGTTTTGTGCCAAAACCAGTTAAACACGGATTTAAAAAAATCAATTGTAAAGTACAAAGAATGACTGAAAAATATGATGATGATTTAAATTGTAAAAAATGCATTACAGTAAAAGACACAGTGCCATGAGTCCCCTTCAAAGCACACTTGTCCCTTGGTTCTTGCCACTTTTTGCAGCAGCTCTGGAGTCCTTTTTCCCGAGGGTCTTTACACGGCGTGAGCAAAGATACAGTGAGCCATGCAATGGAAAGGCAGCTTATAAAAATGTGACGCTGTGTTCTCATCCACCTCAGTCACCTATTCTGGCACTTTGGTACCTCTGGATCCTCCTGAAAGTCAAAATGGCGTGAAAGGGAAATGCTTTGAACCCATTTCAGATATCTTGGGAGCCAGGACAGAGCACAACTAAGGAAACAGAATCAGGTCCTGCCCTGAGCCTCTGCAGTGGCCATGTCCTGTGTCTGCTGGTCTTTGCCTGCCCTATCCAGGCCTGTGTAGATGCTGAGGTTGGAACTGACTGGTTTTCTCACCTATTCCTCCTACCAACCACCATGCCCTTTTAATACTGGGGCTGAACCCAGGGTCTTCACACTGAGCCACCTCCCTAGCTCTTATTGTAGTTATTTTTATTTTGAGACAGGGTCTCGCTAAATCATTAAGTTTCTTGGGCAAAGCTCCAGCTTACAATCCTCCTGGCTCAGTGGCTTTGAGTGCTGGAATGCAGGAATGCACCATGGCTCTTGGGCTACACTCTACCTTTGATACAGGCCCACGTGTTAGAGGCTTAAAATGACTTCAGGTGTTGTGGTTCTTCTTTCTCCAAGAAGCTCAGGGCTGCTTTATGGTTCCCTGTGGTCTAATCTAGAGCCCAGCACATGGGGAGGTGGTGTTTGTGTTTGTTCATGTACTGAGATTTAATTTGGTTGAAAACATAGGTCAGTCCATCTGGAAATGACCTGGTCAGCTAACAGCCCTTCAGAGGGTAGCCAGGAAGGCCCTCAGATTGGTCAGGACCCTGGGATCCTTTTAGGGCCCTGCTGTGAGCAAACCTGTAATTCTTTCTCAGGGCACAACAAAAATTTCCATGGGTGTGATAACGACCTGACCTCCTAGTTTTCAGAGATTTCCTCCATTCAGCCCCTCACTGAGAAGCCAGTCTTCATTCAAGTAATTTTGCCTTCAGTCTCCCTGAGCTCTTAAGGGGGGTCCACTGGATTTCTTTTACAGCAGTCATAGAATGGAGCAAACCCGAGGTCATGGCTACTTGGGGGAGGGGTTCCCTGGTGCCATTGCCTCCACTGTAGACAGAGTTGTGGGCCTTGGTTCCCACACTGTGGTGCCAGCCCCGGTGTGACTGTCCTTGGAGACAGAGCAGAAAGAAGGCTTTAGTCAGGTCCCTGGGGCATGGTCTGCTAGGACTCACGATCTCGGAAGACACACAGAGAAGTCCCTCACCACATGTGCAAGGGGCAGCTGTCACCAGCCAGGGCCCGAGGGTCTCAGCTTGGTTCCCCAAATAGACTCTGGACTCTTCATCACAGAGGGAGCATCTCAGCATTAAGCATGGTGGTGTGGCCATGGTCCCAGCTGCATGGCCCATTCGTGGCCTCACTGGGCTACAGAATGAGGTCTTGTGACAGAGCAAGTGGGCCAGGGACGCAGTAGTAGGCATTTTTAGCCCATTTTGGGTGCCAAATCCAAGTTTTGTCCAAAATGAAAATATAATACATCACTGCTCGAGTCAAAACAGGGGTCCTTCAGACCCTAAATCCTTTTGGTGAAGTCACGCTTCCTTGTATTTTCATTTCTTGCACGTGTCCACTGCAAGAGTTTGTGTAAAAGCTCCATGTGCATGCATCTCTAATGTGCGTGGTATGGGGGGCGTCAGCAAGCCATACACAGATAAGCGGGTTCTAACTCTCACAGAATTATAAGTGTGACCTAAAAAGTACCCATTAGATGTCAAAGGAGAGGCTGTGTCTTATAGAATGCTTGTGCTTTGGGAGTGGAAGCCCCCCCACCAGAATGGAGCCAGGCGGATGAAAGGCAGCCTCCGCTGTGGGCCTTTCCCTTAAGTGTGATGCAAACAAGAAGGCCAGGGAATAGCAATGACCACAGTGGGTGAAACAGTTTCCCAGCCTCAGCATGGGCACCTCTGGGGACCTGGAGGTCACACATCTGCACACGCTAATGAGGTTCACTGATGCCGGGAGGCTGGGGGTTTGCAAAGAGACTGGTCTCTGAAAAAGAGTCTCCACTGCCACTCTGGCTTTGTCCTCCTCAAGCCTATCATTGAAACAGAGGCAGGGACAGGGCCTGGAGAGAGAACCCACTAAGTTCTCCTGGGACCTCATGAGGCTCAGCTTCTGGGGTGCAAAACAAACCAAAGGTGCAGTTACTGGAATCTGCTCACATACAGAGAAAACTTTAGGAGGCGACTCATTTTTCGGCTCTTATTATATTTTCTGTTTGTTTCTTTGATTTTTTTTTAAAAAAGAAAAGTGTTTAAAAAATAATATATACAGGTGGAAGAGTTTGGCAAGTTCTGAAAAATATAGAGTCCAAGAAAAAAAATTGTGATTCCATTATTAGAGAGACAATTCTGATGAATACAGTGGTTAACTCAGTTCTGGTCTTTGAAGGGGTATTTTATGTGTGTGTAAGTCATTTTTACTATGGCTAAACAGTCATATTTTTGCTAGGTGTGGTGGCACAGGTGTACAATCTCAGCACCGAGGCAGGAGGATTGTTGTGAGTTTGAGGCCAGTTTGGGCTGCAAAGTGGGTTCAAGCTCCCCTTCAGAGCTTTTCTTTCAAACCAGTCACAAACTAAATTCGAAGTACGGATTTAGGAAGCACAATTCCAGAATAAGGCCTGCACAGGAATTTGAGGGAAAGGTTCCTAAAGGAAGCTTGACTTTGGAGCAGCTTCTGCAGCCCACTGCATGCTGATAAATCTGTACCTGGGCTGCGGGTGCAGGGTGACGGGGCACGAGCTCATGGTTTACGACCTGCTTACTGTCCTCGGGAACCAGCACATGTGCGGGATCCAGCAGGCTGGCTGGGCCCAGAGCTCACAAAGGGGCTTTCAGGAGTTTCCTTGGCATTTATTTGATGATTGTCATTTATATGTATTTTACACATGAACCCATGTTTCTTACCTTAAAATACTTTAAATAAAACAAGTGTGAAGCTTTTTCAGTAACTATGGCCTTGTGACTTGTGGGTCAGATTATTTTCGAGCTGTAAAGATAGAAAGTGAATAAAACAGTTCTTTAAAGAACAAATTCTTAAAGCTAGAAAAGGCTTGAATCTTTTCTCCTAAGCCATTTTCTACTTAAGGTAAAAATTCAATCAGTGGTATTCCAGACACTGATAGAATACAGTCCATTCATCATCCATCCATCTATCCATCCATTCACCCAAAAACCAGTCTATCTGTCCATCTACCCTCCATCCATTCATCCCCAAACCAGTCTATCTGTCTATCCATCCACGCATCCATCCATCCATCCATTCACCCCAAAACCAGTCTATCTGTCCACCCATCCATCTATTCACCCACAAACCAGTCTATCTGTCCATCCACCCATCCACCCATCCATCCATCCATTCACTCCAAAACCAGTCTATCTGTCCATTTATCCACCCATCCATTAACAGTCTATCTGCCCATCCATCCACCAATCCATCCACCTGTCTACTCATCGATCTATTCATTCTCTACCCATCCATCCATTCACCCAAAAACCAGTCCATCTGTCTATCCACCCATCTGTCTATTTATCTTTCTATTCACCCATCCATCCATCCAATCAATAACAGTTTATCTGTCCACCCACCCACCTATCTGTCCATCTGTCTACTCATCCATCCACTCACTCATCTGTTTTTTTACCCATCAAACTTTCTTTCCATCCATCCATCCATCCATCCATCCACCCACCTATCCACCCAGCTATTCTTTCACCCATTATCCTTTTCATCTATCCATCCATTTATTCACTGAGTATTTGCTGTGCACATGGTATATTCCATGTGCTTTGTCAGGCACTGGCTGAAAGGGTCCTTGAGAGTTTTAAACCCAGGGAAGTTTGTAGATCAGGAAGCTCCTGTCTTAAGAGCTGTCAGAGCCAGTATCTGTTGGAATCTATACCATGCTGGCAGCTCCCC